ATGAACGCCATCTCAGCTTCTCAGGTATATGCGTCAACTGCTCAATCCACACAAGGTTGACGAAATGTGTTTGCAGTGGCTACCATGGCATATCCAACAGATTTTGACTATCTCCTGCAAATCTGTTGACCTATATGCACTAAGTGAGTTTGCAGACGAAATTCTAGATGTAATGCCTGACACAAGTATCGACGACGTGTCAACATGTCATGCGTTGCCAGGTCAAGGCAACGTCGACGGTCTTTTTCAAGACAGTGGACCACAACATCTAATGCTCAAAATATTTGCAGGTATCATAGAAAGTATGAAAACCAAGCTATTCTGTGTTTAAAACCATGTACTTTCACAAGTAGTGAGCCGGCTCAGGGAATCTCCTCAGCCAGACAGTGATGGCGATGGCTGTCAGTGGCAACCATTCAAGTCACCTTCTCTACGTGAGAGATAAAACTACAGGTGTATTATTCTTGATGGAAACAGGAGCTGGTGTTTGTGTAATACCCCCTCCACTTTCCAGGCGGCTTTCTGATACAGCAGCAAACTGTCACTGATAACAGCTAACCAAACTTGCATACGGATTTATCGCGAACAGTCACTTACTTTGGATCTTGGCCTACGCCGTCATTTTACATGGATTTTCACTGTAGCTGACGTTCGTCACGCCATACTCAGTGCTGATTTTTTAGGTAATTTCAATCTGTTGGTTGATGTCAACAAGAAAAAACCGACTGACAACTGCACTCAACTTCAAATCCATGAAATCTTCTCAGACTACTTCGTTTATAGCATTTGCATCGAAAAGCCAGTTCACTGCCCATTATCTGCATTACTGCAACGTTTCCCTAAAAATTCTAAAGCCATCTTACAATATCAAAGATGTCCCTTATTCTATCGCGCATAAAATCGTCACAACTAATGAGACCAAAGTGATAACTTTGCTTTATAAAATCAATAGATTTGTAGGGGACTTTGTAGCAAGCTCAATAACAGAACAAGTATATGAGTAAATACCCAAGGTAATGAGATGATAGTGTAACAGTATATTATAAAAATACAGTAATGAATTATATGAATTAAACGGTTACAGTTAAAGTCTTCGGATGAGGATAAGAGGTTCCTGCAAAACTCCAAAGTATAGAAAATGGTTATGAGTGAAGTAAGTAGTAAGTAGACTAGTGAGAAGACGAATCGGCCAGCAGTACACCTGTACCTCATATTGTACTCGGAAGTTATCTATATTCCCGTATGAATCGTTTTAAACTAAAGTCATGTACAATGTCTCTAATTTCAACATCTAAGAAAAGACTGTATAATCACATTGCTACCTACTTCACAACACAGTTATTTACAGTAAAACCTGTGCTACTATTCAACAATCATACACATCAAAAATGTAAAATTTACTCAGCAATCCCGTCAGGCAACCATATAGACCAAATTATTTCTCAGTTTCAGAACAAGTGCTTTACATCAGGTTAACCGAAATAAAATCAACTGTGAAGAGTCCAGTAGGGTAGGATCAAAACTATCTTATTCGATACCAACGCTTCTTCTATCTATTTAATTTTACCATATACGTCTTTTTTTGTACCTCTCGGTGCTACTGCTCTGTCTGTTAGACACTTAATCAAGCCTGCCTTAACAGGTAACGCACGAGGCTCAGTTAAGTGTCTAACAAACCGAGCAGTTGCAGTAAGTAGCGTAAGAAACGACCTAAATGATGAAATAAAACAGATAGAAGAAGCGTTGCTATCAAATAACTATCCTATAAAATTCGGTAGGAGGATCAGAAAAGACCAAAAGCGAAATCACAATAACTGTGAATCCAGTAATGATAACACAAATAAGAGAGGGTGTAAGGTACTTACCGTGGCTTTATCATATCAGGAGGGGACATCTGAGACCACCACACGTGGGATTCTTAATAAACATAACATAACAACATAATAATTTCGCTTTATTCCAGAAACAGTACTTGTGGTACAGTGTGGAATTTTCAGCACATATCTACAATATTGCATCTAATTTCATCGTACATTAAAAAGGAGTATTACAAAAAAATAAATATAAAAAAACACGACAAAAAAACCAAAAAACGAAACACAGAAATAACAAAAGAAACAAAGAAAAGAAAAAAATGCAAATAAAAAATACCAAGTAGAAAGGAAGATAAACACAATAATGAAAAAATATTTCAGTACTGGGTAGTGGAAGCTATGATATGTGTATGCGTGGTGAACAGTAACAGCTATAATCATACAAGAAATTATGAGATGTTCTTAAGAATGTTTATAGCTAAGATGATCAGTTAATTTGATTGAACAACACTAAACAATCATAAAATAAACATTTCAGGTTGTGTTTTTTTTATTGTCAGCACTAATGCAGTGTTTGTAGTGGTAGTGTGAGGAATCATGCATAATACAAAATTTTTTAAGATGGTGATAGTGGCAATAACAAACAAGATTGTCAGTTAAATAGTGCCGAACAAAGAACAACCACAAAACTAATGTTACATGATGGTTAATGACGGGACAATTTTTAATAATCATAGTGATAATATAGTCGGACCCAGTAGATATACAAAAGAAGGAATAGAGTAAAGTAAAAAAAAGTAAGCCAATGATAATAATTTTAAGCAGCTAAGTATGTTTAAGAAGGTTGTTCACTATAGAGTACAAATAAGAGAGTATAAGGGGGAAATAACAAGGGCCAAAATTATGTTATTAACAACAAAGCAAGTCATAGGTTTCACGCTTAACATTGTCTCTGTCACTTAGAACACGGGCCAAATATGGTATCGTTGAGTTCCTATACTTGGTTGTACGAGCATATATTATTTTGTACTGATTTCTGGTTCTACCTGATGAGATGCAAGGAGAGAGTTGGGAATAGAGGGGGTGTTGGGGGTCAGAGAGTATGGTTTTAGACCATTTCTCACATGTATTCAGATGCTTATCCACTAATGTTGTGACGAGCTGACTGAGTTTTACACCGCTAGTCCTACTAACTACCTTCAACATCCTTCTCAGGATGGTATAATCCTTTTTCAGTAACCCAGGAAAGACTAACGGGGAACAGTAAAGTAGAATAGGTAGGATACGAGAGTTGACAAATTGTGAAAGCAGAGGTTGAGGGACTCCAGTTAGTCTGAGTTTCTTAATGTAGTAGGTTAGACGAAACACTTTCTTGGAAATCATTTGGATATGAGATGACCAAGTAAGGTCGGAAGATATAACTAATCCGAGGTATTTTGCATTAGACTTTGTTTCAATTATAGTCCCCTCAATTCTACAGACATCATGAGTGCTTACTAGTGTTTGTAGATCTCGTTTATGCCTAAAGGAGAAGTCGACAGTCTGGCATTTTGAGGGATTCAGCGTTAGGCCATTTAGTTTAGACCACTGACTGATGTCCGACAGGAAGCTATTTAATTTGAAGCAGTCTGACTGAGACTTAACGGGAAGCGAAACAGTCAGGTCATCTGCATATTTGACGAAGTTGATTTCGTCTGAGAGAGGTAAGTCATGTAAGAAGAAGGAAAAGAGAAACGGCGAGAGAACAGCACCCTGAGGAACACCAGCTTCAGTAAGCAAAGGAGAGGAAGCTACACCATTATATACCGTGTACTGCATCCTATTGGAGAAGTAAGAGTGCAGCCAGTTGATAGCCCAGGACTCAGTTTGTGTAAGGCTAAGCTTGTTTAACAAAAGGCCTCTAGGTACAGAGTCAAAAGCAGATGTGTAATCAAGGAAAGTACAACGGACATACTTGGCCCCTTTGTCTAAGGAGGATACAATGTTGTGATGAAACACAGCAGCAGCATCCAAAGTACTTCTACCCTGTTTGTAAGCAAACTGCTTTGGATCGTTTGAGAAGCTTAGGGAGGGAATGAGTTTTTGTAACAGTAATTTCTCCATCAGTTTCAAAAAAGGAGAGGTAATGGCAATTGGTCTAAACTTAACACTATCTCCAGAACCAGACTTGGGTACAGGGATGATTTTAATATCTTTCCACAGAGAAGGTACAACATTATTAGAAAAAGAAGTATTGAAAATGCTTGTAAGTGGGTTACTTAAAATATCAGCACATTTCTTTAAAACAATGGCAGGTATACCATCAGGGCCTAGACTCTGGGAAGGTTTAAGAGATTTCAAACATTTAAGAACATCAGAAGTATTGAAACGATGAAAGTCACTGGTCGTGTTATTAGTTAAATTGAAGGCAGAAAGGACATTTGGAGGGCGGATGAAAGATCTATTGAGAGTATTTACATCAATAGAAGAGGCAAAATTATTATGCTTACCACAACCAGTAATTTCTCTAAAAAGCTTCCATATGTTTTCTGAGGTTTTACAAGATAGTATTGTTTGATTATAAATGTTGTTTAGTCTCTTGATTTCAGATTTAATTTGGGTGTTTATCTTCTTAAGACCAGATTTATTCTTTGTCTTGTACAGCTTCTCTTTTTCTCTACGAAGTTTTTTGAGATGAGGGGAAGAAAAACGATCCATTCTTTTGAAAATTATCTGTTTTGGACAGCATATATCAAGACAGAATTTAAGATAGTCAGTCAAATTGGAAATAGTATCATCCAGTTTGTGTTCGTTGAAAAGTTCCCAGTTAGTGTCATTTAGCATACATCTTAGTTTGAGCATATTTTCTTGTGAGTAACACCTTTGCTGTGTTTTCTTGGACAGATTTGAGAAGATATTAAAGTGAGATCTGCTGTATATCTTAGGTAATATCCGAATAATACAATGATCTGAGTTCATGATAGGAGCACGTCGGCGTACTTCATATATTTCCTCATCATTAATGAACACTAGGTCAAGAGTTTTATCAAGTCGAGTAGGGAATTTAACAATATTGGCATGACCTAATGATACGAGGAAAGAACAATCACAGCAGTTAAAATCTCCTGTGACAACTGATAAAGAGTTTTCAAGATGTGTAACGGCGAATTCAGTGAATTCATCAGCAAAATCAGATAGATCAGATGCAGAACAGCCAGGAGTAACATAAATGTTAGAGATGAAGACGTATTTAAACTTGGATAAGTGTTTCGGGCGGCATTTGACCGTTATACAATCAATAAAGTCATTAGAGTAAGAAAAACATACGTTATTTGAAGTTGACCATTGAGAATGAATGAAAGTTGCAACACCTCCACCTCTTTTCTTTCTGGAGCATAGTCGATCTTGTCTAAACAATGTAAAACCATTTAGGGAAACCAGATTGTCATCATAGAGTTCATGGAGCCATGTTTCTTGTAATGCAACAATCGCCGTATTGTGATAAGTATCAGATGATAAGAGAGACTGGAGATGCATAATTTTGTTGGGAAGTGAACGGCAGTTTGAAGTGACAATAACAGGAATGGTTGTACGATATAAAGGTGTCTGTTTAAGTGCACGCTGCCAGCCAGCGTGATGTTTTCTCTTAGATTTATTAGATGCATGAAAGTCATATGGTTTAAAACGTTTAATGAATGAATTACTGTATTTTATGCGATTTGCGATCATATTTTATTAAAATTAGGAATGAAAACATGACTTATTAGATGCAATATGTAGATGCAGGAAAAAGGTAGCCCAGATGTCAAACAGGCCGCCAAGGTCAAGCAGGAATTACGATGGCAATTAAACTGACAAACTCACTCAGGGACAAGCTCTGTAGATTAAAAGACCCAGTTGACCCAATTTAACAAATATAATTTACAAAATACCAGTGAGTTAGGTCAACTATATAGGTCACACTATTACGTCGAGAGAAGTCAGATTGTCAATAAATAAGAATTTAGCTGGGGTTAAAATCGTTGACCCGGATAGGATAAATAATTTAGAAAAAAGCTCAGGAATTGCGTTGCATGCATTGACACTCGACCACACAATACGCTGGGAGATGGTTAAAATTCTAAAAAGTAATCCAGGTATGTGGAGGGAGATAGAGGTTGATTACTGAATCCTTGTTCATCGAGTCTGCACCCAACACATGCAGTAGCATTGACTAATCACTCATAACCAAAATATGAAAAATACTGCTATCAACCAAATCAAGCGATGGAAAATGATGAAATTATATAAACAAAGTTATAAAGTTGTGTGAGTAGTACCTTGATATAATAATGAGGAGTAACAGATTGTGCTCGAAAAGTGGTCATCAGTAAACATTACTGTATAACACTGTGAGACTTTATCATAACAAATTTTACCCATGCTGGAATTATACTGTACCACAGTGCACATGTTTTATCCTTATATAGATGATACCGCATCTGTGAGAACAATAACATTCAGTCTAGGAGAAAAACAGATATTAAATACAACGTTCAACATTCAAATGTCCACCAATATTGTAACTGGATCGTTTAGGAGCAATTTTTCATGCAATTATTCCGTTAAATTAAGCGGATGTATTGGAAAAATATATATGAAAAGGAGCAAACGCAATGTATTACGCATGACATAAAATTAAGTGGCCTATTTGTATTTTTTTTTATTTTATTTTGGAAATAAAGCTCGATTCCACACCGTATTTTTGATATAAGTATGAAATTTTCAGCATTTGATAACAATATCTCAAATTTTGCAGCCCGATCAGATGCATCACGTGTGCGTCGGCAGGGGACCGAACCCCGGACCATGTGCATGGTCGGCGAGAGTCCTAGTGGCTATGCCACCGACCCCCGAACATCGCTTGCAATTGCTAACGTCCCTCACGAAGTAAGCATTTGAAACCCATACCACATTAGTCCAGTTACAAATGTAGTCCGACTGATTTTCAATGACCGTTATTATTCATTTTGAGTAGAAAATAGGACTAAAACAGAACATCTATATTTCATCCTGTCCTGTGTAGTCTTCTTCAGTTAACCACGGAGTTTTGCATAAGCCCTAATCTCCTGCTTTCAAGACTTCTTTAATGTCACCGTCGAGCGTCCAAGTTTTTGTTTCCTACTAGATTTCCACTCATGTCCCTGACGCAAGATATCACCCGACGGTCTCCTTGGCGTGTGTGCCTGATGCATCTCCACTTTTTGCCGTTTGCTTTTTTTCAGTAACAGCTTCTCTTGATTGATTCGTTCGTAGAGTTTCCTGTTGGTAAATCTTTTTGACCGTGTGACCTTACGTATATATCCAAAGAAGGCAGCTGTTGATAAAATGTGAATCCCCCTGGAAGTGTATTTCATGACACCCGTGCCAACCTTCTGACCTACAAAGAAGCCATGACTAACTCAACATAAGTGTCGAAGATTGTTCATGTTCAGTGCAACAGATTTTCTGGGTGATTTCATATTCCAATTTTGTTTCTAGCATCGTCACTCACACCGTCTGTAGCTGAAACAATGCTGTCTACAAAAGTGAAGGAACTGATGTCTTTCAAACATTCCGAAGTTGACAGAAATGGGAGATTTCCGTTGCTGGTCGTTTGATGTCTTCATCAGATCCGCCTTATCTAAATTCCTTTGAAGAACTGTCTTCTCGGCCTGCCTCTCCTACCATTATTAAAGTTTTCAAGCGTGGATATCTTGAGTGAAATTAGAAATAAATCGTCCGCATATTTCAAGTCATTTTTCAGAGTATGCCTGCCGGCCCAACCTATTCCTGTCTTCTTGCTCAACCCCCTTACTCTGACCTTTGATCCAGTCCACCATAATTAGGAATGTCACCAGTGTTAGCAGTCAATCTTATCTTACTCCAGTCTTCACTTCAAAGGCATTGCTGAATGTTCTACAGCGAATCACTTGGCATGTGACGTTGTCAACTAGCTGTCGAATTAGGCTGATAAACGTTTGGGTTACTGCATAGTGTTGTAGTAGGAGTCTCCAAATTACTATACACAGTCAACTCTATCACTGGCTTTTTCAACATGAGTGAAGTTTAGGTGGAGATTCGACTATCACTATTACTGATGCTGTGGTGAGAGCTGGCTGTTAGTCAAAATTGATGGACAGTAGTTTACGTCAATGTTCATGTCCCCAACATTAGTCGTGGGGAAAATGAGAAGAAAGCCATTGCGCAGTCAGATACAGTTAACATTTAGATGATCTGACATTCAAGAAAAAGTCACAAAGAGATGCAAGGTTAACTTCCCGTGAGAAACAACCAATCAAAGGACTGTGTTTTTTTGCTAACAATAATCTATAATATGTACATGAAAATCTATAAATATGTGTTAATTTCCCTAATAAAGGATCTGTTGTAACATTGAATATCACTCCCTGACGACAAATGGAAAGCCTATGCCCTGCAGTTTTTGATGGAGGCATATGGATCTTCAGACAGGACTTCGAGGCTTCTGCACAGTCAAGTGGCGTTCAAGATCTGTCAGCGATAAGGCTGTTACTTGGAAAGCTGATGGGAGATCAGGCGTAAGCAGCATATAAAAGTATGAGGCGAAATACCTATGAATGTGTGACAGGGTCAGGCAAACAGTTTCCAAAGTGGGAAGGACCACATATGGTCACGTTGAAATGGCGTTACGCAGACACAATCACAATGATAAACAAAGAGAAAGAGGTAAACACCAGCTACCGCCGAGATTCCAGACAGCAAGACGGACGATCCCCAATATTGGCCGAGAGAAAAATAAGAAAAAAGACTGATTCGACAACCAGTCACTGAAGACTTTGCGTAGGTGGATACAATTTGCAGATAGATATTCTGAACTCCATGAAATGACCACAAAGAGATGATAGATTACCATTCAGCGAGAAACCACCAATCAGAAGATAATGTTTGTTTGCTCAAAATAATCTATAATAATGTACATGAAAATCTATAAATATGTGTTGATTTCGTAAATAAACGATCTGTTTGGCTGGCCCTTGTCTTCTGCTGTTACAATACTACCTAATTTTATCAAGATTAATGTTCTAAGCATTTGTGTTCGAATCCTCCATAATTCAAGTCTACATATGTAAACAAAATAAAAGTACTTTCACCTGCTATACGTCAATGTTTCATTGATGAATCAAACTAGATGATTAGGCATTTAGACAATGTCAATTAACATTCCAATTAGCAGTAATGCATGTTGTAATCGCTAATCCGTGATACATCTGACAGGTGAATTTGAAATATGTCAGAAAAAAGTCAAACACTAATATAAATAAACATGATATTTACACCTAGATTATCTGTGAATAATTGAAGCTATGACGCTTTCAGCATTTTTACACTGGTCACACACACACAATCCAAGAAAACAAATACCGTTAAATCATTCACACATTTGACTAAAACGAATTCCTTTTTAGTGAATTTGCACAAAGCAATGGGAACACATGGTGTAGAATGAATTGAATTTTTGCATTAACTTGAAATGTTTACACAAGGTGTTCGTTGCAAAGAGCAGTTTTTTATCCTTGCCAAAATTCACAGCATGTTACAAAATGTGAAACGAATAAGTTTACAAACACATATTTGATATACAATAAAGAATATCCCCAACCAAAGTTACGCAAGTTTGCAAAAATTTGTTTTAGACTGAAAACAAAAAAAGAATCTTTGTTATGAAAACAAAACACACGCAGTTCAGTGAAGAGCTGCTTCCCTTCCGGTGAATTCATTTTCTTATCTGTACAATCGCAAATATATATATATATGGGTTGTTTTATATGCATGTGTACATTAAGTTCGTCAAACATACATTCGGTATTTAATTGGTGAATGGCGACTAGCAGTGGAATCCAGGATAACGTGCATTTCATCCTATTCGGGACTCGCCATCTGGTTGTACCTGCATTCCGCAATCAGTGATGATGTTTCCACCGAGACTCGAACCTACTGCCTACAGTTTAAAACGCCAAAGCGTTATTCATTAGACCACTTAGGCCACGAGAGCCAAGTCTTATGCAACGAGTCATAATAATTTTAATTGAATTTGAGATTTTCCCGTCGATTGATTGAACCGAAGTGCTCGGTCTCAGGTTGACATGTCAGTCGGCTTCTTACGCAGATGCTTCGACGAAGTCTGGGCATTTAATTAGTATTTCATTGGTGGAAGAAGCCGACATGTCAACCTGAGACCGAGCACTTCAGTTCAATCAATCAACAGGAAAATCTCAAATTCAACTAAAAATACAAGCGGTTATAAAAAATTATATTCGTAAAATCTCAGCGAGACTGAAATGAGTAACTCCAACGTTTCCTGCGTTCGGCAATCTGGTTTGAACTTCTTTAGGGAAATTAATGGAAATTAACATAACAGTAGGTCGAATAAAGCAGCTCAATCTTCAGAAAGAAGACAAAGCAATAATGTCGACAGGGTGCTTCAACTAAACTCTTGACATTTTACATTAAGAAGTTAAGACACTCGGGTATAACTCAACCCCTCATCCTACAGTTCGTAAACTCTTGCATCCTACCTTTTCTTCTTTATTGCTCACCCTTATTCTTTCCTGGTTTGCTTAAAAAAGACTATGTCACAATTCGTAGAATACTGAAGACTGTCAGTGGGGTGAGTGGTGTCCCAGTGGACCACATAGTTAACGTCGTTGTCGATAGGCACTTGACTTCATGCAATAAATTTGCTAAAGGGATTTTGTCTGACTTGGAGCATCCGC